AAGGAAATGGTATGTGCAATGCATGGGCTATGGAAGAGAGTAACAGGCAGAACAGGGCTCTGCTTTCCTTATATCCTAACCAGTCTGATCGGCAGCACAAAGCACTGAACAAATGTTCACTGGTTCCTTATGGAGACCTGCACTGTGGCCGGTACTATATTACAGGTACCATGGTGTCATGAGTCACATAATCTATTGGAAGATACAAATATCTATCTAAAATAGACCATTAAAAACACAACTATAGAACTCCCTTTTTCTGTGCATAATTACCCAGCATTGAGCAGGTTAAAGGACTGAGACATCATGCCAGTAGAAAATGAAAAGGGGGAGGGAAAGGAAAAAAATAGTATTTTCTGAACCTACAATGCTTCCAGGGTAATTACTTTACTTTGTATGCCAATATGACTCATGGCAAGAGGCTTAGCTGAGACCTGTGAACTGCCTGAATTTGATGCAAGGCGTATGTGGCTCTCATGGTAACTAATGTCAATGAGATCTGCAGATGTGAATCACCATACCATTAAAAACATCTGAAACACATTCTTCTTGATATTAGCAAAAGCTTAACTCTAGTTCCACTTGGCCTGGGAAACGTTTCTGTCATTCTGCTGGACCAGCCCACACATACTGGGCTCTTGATAGGTTCTGGGCGCAACCATCTGGCCCTTTATTTACTTAACTCTTTTCTAATACTGACAAGCACATTAGTAACACTCTTTTGATCACTAGTAAATATAGAGCTACTGCACAACTAACATCTTCTCTCATTCTGAAAGTCACTAATTAGTTGTGGGTAGGAGTCGAAGAGTATTACAAAGACATGTTAAGCATTACTACAGTAAGTAATTTAAATACACCCAATGCATGCTAATTTATTTCCCACTTCATTAGAGAAATGGAAAACACCTTGTCAACACTAAAGAAATCTAAAAAGAGACGAGAGCATTTGGAAGGATAGTAGGTAGTTAAGAAAAAAGAATGATAGTAGAATTTGGGGGGGGAGGGGAATCTACATTTTTTTCTTGATTTCTTTTCTTTATTAGACAGTATTACTCAAGGCTAAGGAATTGAACATGACTGTAATCTCAGCACTCGTGAAATAAAGGCAGGATGGTCGCCATAAAAAGCCAGCATGGTCTAGGTATTGAGACTGTCTTTTCAAAAGACAAAAAGGAAATGCTGAGATAAAAGTGTATTTAATGGGAAGGTTGCAGTCAGTTAATAAATGCAGGTTTCCAAATGAGACAAATAAGGTGGGTGATTCTTGTTTCTAGATCATGATTATTCTTACTAGTACTTATATTGAACAGAAGTAAGCCATATTAATCTTTCCATACAAAAGTTCAAAGTTGTATTTTACAGAATACAATTTAGGCTTAAAACAAATAATGCCCTTCCAAAAGATGCAAAAAAGACATTTAGAAAAAAATTAATTCTCATCTATATTTCAAAACTGAGAATTTATATAGTTTTGATCCATTATAATTTATTTATAGCACATTTTATGTAGATAAGAGACTAAATGCTAAATTTTATGTAAGATTCAGATTGTTCACAGAAAATCAGCTAATTGTTTTGTGTGTTAATTCAAGCATCAGGTTTAGAGCATCATACCCCAAATCCCTGAAAGTGAGTCTGTGTAGGCTCATTTCTAAGCTTAAAGGATGGGACACCAAGCAAAGACTTTCAGTAGTTATTTTGGATTTCACTTTGGCTCACATGTTCATAGACATTTCAGGACAGACAACAATTTCTTATAGTATAAAACCCAAATAGCTAGAATCTTTTTTATTTATTTATTTATTTATTTATTTATTTATTTATTAAAGATTTCTGTCTCTTCCCCGCCACTGCTTAATGAAAACATAATCTTACACATTGTGAACTATTTCAGATTCTTATCGAATCCTATAACTAAATAACTAAAGAAAAATCAATACTTGGTTGATATGCAGAAATAAATTGATGTAAGGATAAACAGAATAAATAAGGGGAAAAACACACTGGAGAATATGTAATATAAGACATGTCCAATAATTGGGGTACCTGTTACTGAGAGGTGAAATAAGAATGATCTTGCTTATAGATTAATGCAGGTATCGAGATAGGGCATTATAGAAGCCTTGTGCTGCAATGGAAGACAAGCAAACAAAAACCAAAAAGCCTCCTCAGGAAAGGAAATGTTTCTGTTAATTACTAAGAAGTGATTAACCAGCTGACACAGCTATTAGACATGAAAGGTATGAAAGCACCAAAGGTAGCAATGTTGGTGGCCACCACCCATCAAAAGGCTTTGCCAGTACAGACTGGATGCCTGACACCAAGCACTACATAAAAACAATAAAACCTGGAGCCAACCAATGGAAGATTCAACAAAATCCACTTCCAACTGCAAATATTCCAGGAATCCTATACTGAAGTATTTTTTCACTTGGGAATGGCATACACTGCGTACTAGCAGGTGCTTACCTTTACTTACCCACTATGCAGAGCAAATAAAACATCAAACTAAAAAAAAAAAAAGCTAGTCTGCGGCACATAGACGTGATTATAACTTTAGCTGGCAAAGATTGCTATTGATAGGTATGACCAGAATGCCACTACATGAGCAGATGGCCAAAGTGAGCCCATGTCACTGACAATAAATTATGTGGGTCTTTGTGTCCCAAACAATCAAACAAATAAAAAAACACAGAAGAGGTTACTGTGCCCTCCTTTGTTTGATGTAAAGCTTTATCAGTGAAATATAAATATAAGGTTATAGCACAGACATTAATGCTGCATAATGCCATTTTATATAACATTTAATAAATATCTACATGATCACAATAAAAATCCTAAATTTATAAAAATAGAAAAATATATGAAAACAGTACCAAATTTTGATGTTTACAGGAATATGAATGCAAGTGGAAATAATGATATTACGTGAAGGAGTTCTGTCTCAGAAAGACAAATACTGTGTTTGCTATGCAGTCATAGGAACTGAGTACAGATCACTAGCACCCACACAAAAGGTGGCATGGAAGCATGCACTGTGGCCCAAGTGCTAGGCTGGCTGACACAGTGGATCTGGAGCTCTTTGGCCAGCCAGTCCAATTGACCTGGTGATTCATTAGACAAAATGGTGATAACTAAACAAATGTCAAAAGTGATAAATTTTATACCACGAGACAACTGAAACATGGAGGGGGGCACAAACACAAACATTACAAACTGAATTCTCGATGTGTTAACCTCATTACTATTAATATTACACAATATGCATTACTTGGAGTCTGAAAAATAAAAATTAATGATACAGTAGTACAAGAGATAAATTAGGAATATATTTCTAATAACATAAGAGATAAATTAGAAATATATTTCTAATAACATAAATTATTTCTAATAACATAATGAAGATACCTGAAATTATATAATTAAATGAATAGTCATATGTGGTTGTGAAAACTTACAAGAGAATTCTGGTTACCTACCTTCAAGAAAGAGACGACGAAATACGAGGTTCAAGAATACATCTTTATTACCTCTGTATCTTAAAATATTGCCTAGTATTAATTTTTCATCAAGTTGTCATTTTCCTTGACATTTGGTTTTATTAATCAAGGCATTTATCATTAATTTGTAGAAAATACCATAATTAAGCGAAATAAAATAAAATCCTTAAAAGGTTAAAATTAGAAAGCAGCTGAATTAGAACTCTGACATTATTCTGTTGACATGCATGAGCTACTTGGAAGTATGGGAATCAAGTTTTTTCAGAGTTTGTTACTTCAATCTTGGGGCTGGATGGTTCTGTAAGATGTTATAAAGATTTGATTTAAAGCTGTCTGACAGTTTTGACATTCAGGTTATAGTACTGCTGCTGCATTTGGAACAGTTTGCACATCGCACTGTTAAACGGAATGCTTGAGGTGTGCACTGGTGTAAAGGAATTAAAACAAGCTGTCACACATGCCTAACTGTGTGTACTCACCACTGCTGCTTGGGTCACACCACCCCAACCCCTCCAATGAAATCTGTGACTTACTCTTGTATAATAAATTGCCCTAGCATGTTATTCTCACTGGAAGACCTAACCATGCATGTTAGAAAAAAGTAATTACAGTACCCTCTTGTCTAAGAAGCCTCTCTCAAGCCCTATGAGCTCTTTCTAACAGTGCAGGAACCCCCCTCAATCTGGACTTCTGTATCTAAAGCTATTAAATGTCATCTGAACAGTTTGGATGTCTCCAATGAAAGCATTTTATCCCTCCTACAGTAATTGTAAAGCTATTCCTGGGCATGAATTAGTTTCTGCTTTTGAGTCAATATGCCCACTTAAAGAAAGGGCAAGGTTTAAAATAGGAATTCAAACTAGGAAAAATGGAAAGGGTAACATAGTTTTGTAGAAAGAAGTATAACATCAAACAATTAGGATCAAATACTGTGAGATGGCAGTTTTTTTTTCTGATTTACATGTAATTATAAATTATTTTGAGGTAGAGGTTAATTGTTAAAAGGCAATAAAAAAATAGTTCAAGTAGGAAATCCAAGGTCTTTAAAATAACAAAGCATGTTCATGAAGATAAAACCTATGGGTGATGTAGGAGTGTCTTCTATCTATCTGTTGCTTTCATTGGTTAATTAATAAAGAAAAGTACTTGGCCTGATAGGTCAGAACATAGGTAGGTGGAGAAGACAGAACAGAATGCTGGGAGGAAGAAGGCAGCGAGGCAGACACCATGCTTCTCCTACCCAAAACGGACGGTGGTTAGAATCTTCCCTGTAAGCCACTACTCCGTGGTGGTACAAAGATTATTAGAAATGGGTTAATCAAGATGTGAGAGTTAGCCAATAAGAGGCTAGAACTAATGGGCTTGGCAGTGTTTAAATGAATACAGTTTCTGTGTTGTTCTTTCGGGTGTAAAGCTAGCTGTGCGGAAGCAGGGCAGGACGAAAAGCAGGCCTGCTCGCCTCATCACTACATATGAGCAAACATCACTGGACATTACCTTCAGCTTCAGAGTCTCAAAGGGCACTTCAAACACTCCACTCATTTATCTATAAAAAAAAGGAAATACTTAAAATTAGTAATCAGTCAAAAACCCATTTACATTTACAGTAATGTCTTCAGGATTAGCTTTGAAAAGAATATAGTTGATTTCATGAATGGTAATATCTCTAGTTTTAAGAAAAAATAAAGTTAACAGTCATTACAAGTCCTGAAAACAAGCAGTAAAGATTCTCAGCAAATCATGTCACATTCAATGCCAAGCACTATGTGTATATTTCTGAAAGGGCAGAGTATCAATAAGTTTCTTAAATGATATTAACAAGGATTTCTAGGTTTCGATATTCATATTACTTAAAAGAGATACTCCAAATTCAATTATTTGCATATTACTACTTTCAAATTTTATGCTTTTGAATGTGTGTGCAGGCATGTCTTCACATGTGCACATACGTACATCTTTGTGCTTGGAGGCTGCAGGACAAGCTTTGAAATTATGCTCAGAATCTGCCATCCGCCACCTTTGAGACAGGTTCTCTTACTGACCTAGAGATCAACAATTAGGATAGACTGGCAGGCCAGCAAGGCCCCAGTGACTGTCTTGTCTCTGTCTCCCTAGCACTAGGGTTTCAAGAATAAGCATGTCTGGCTTTGTACAGTTATGCTATGGCACACAAACAGCAGGCACTTTACTAACTGAAGAATTCTTTCTGCCGTGTAGCGAGCTGCATGGAATCACACCTGATGGAGATGTATAATCAACTCCTATGGCTAAAGTCTGACTTATGCCTGATCACACAATGATCATCAGCTGCTTGCATATGTGTGGGCCTATGGGCAATGCCCACCTGGCAGTTCGGGGTTGGTAGCCCATGCCTTTTTAAGGGCTGAGAGAGGTTTGCCCGAAGAGAGAGGTCAAAGAAAAGAGAGAGGGTAGAGAGAGAGAGAGAAAGTGAAAAAAGTCCTGGAATAAACTGCAGTGAGAAGAGCTCCGGTGGTCGCGTCATTCCTTGCGGGACGAGGGTGGCCGTGACACTGCCGTGCCTATTAATACTTAAACACTCTGTGACAATCTACAATGTCTAACAAATCGGTGAGAGCAAGTTATCTATAAAGGTAAGATACAGATTCTATAAAAATGATAGATAAGGTTAAAATATTTGCATAAGTACAGATAATTAAAAGGAAAAGGAAAAAGGATAGAAAAATACAAAGCAGCAAAGGTAACATGTTCAATGGAGTTCGTAGCAAGGCTGATCAAGACCTGGGTGTGGAGACACAAATGGTTGGGCTGTTCCTTTTTTAAACAACTCTATTCCATTTTATTTATCTGTGTGAAATTATTTGTTTGTAATGTATATGTGTGGTGTATACATACATGTGTACAGAGACCAGAAAACATCAGGAGTCCTTGCTATCACTTTACGATTTATTTCCTGAAGACAGAGTTTCTCATTGAATTTAGAGCTGGGCAGATGGCCAGAAATCTTCTTTAATCCACAGTCTCCAGCCTGCACTGTGCTGAGGGCTACAATGATAACTGTCCGTATCTATTTTTTTTTATGTGGGTGCCAGAGATTTGAACTGCGTTCCTGTTTGTATACCAAGTACTCTTACCTGCTGAGCCATCTCCCAAGCACTTAGAGAAGACCCTTTTAGATTCCTTTCTAACCACATACATTAGGAGAATATAGAATCAAAGTTGAGACTGGAGCTGAAGCAAATAAGATGCTAAAAAGGCTTTAGAAAACAATTTGATAAATTTCACTATAAGAAGATTTAGCCACAAGCAATTCTCCCATTAAAATTTGATCTTAATATTTGATGTCCTTGGAAAGTGATCTTTCTAAATTTGCTATGAAATTTCTATGATGACCTTGTTGTCATATTTACTAAAAATCTCCACAGAGATTTGGCAATTTAGAGTCTCAAAAGCAGGTTTTGCTAATGGAAATGCAATACATAAACATAAGCTAATCCTATAAGCCAATATATCTACAATGAAAGACCCCCATCTAAAAAGTCTGAGGATTTTAATTGGCTAGATCTTTAATAAATATAGTCAACAACATTCTTGCAAAGAGAAACAAAGAAGCAAGCAATAAACCACACCAGCAAAATAAAAGATACCTAAATCTAGATTGTGTTGACAGACAAATGAGTCCAGAAAAGAAAAACTACAGCATCATTGCACTGCAAGAACATGAACAATATCACAATTCCTCTGCAGCAGCATGCCTTAGGGAGCCACAGGAGAACAGATTCAGTATCAAGATCAAGACCACTGATGGCAGAAAAAGATGATGATCAGGGACAAAAGAGAGGAGTAAATCAGATTATAAGGTGGTCCAGAAAAAGACATTAGAGAAAATTAATTTCCCCTTTACACGATACTTTATAAGTGTGAGTTTTATTTACTCTTTCTCTCCCTCATTAGAGTGGAGTAAACAGGACAGACCCTTTGTCTTCTTCACACTATCTTCACTAGTGTCTGTTGGGGTCTAGACAATCAATGCATTTCTTGAATAAAAGAATGAACTAACCAACCTATAAACCAACCACTCATCTCTACATCTAGAATACAAAGAAGTAATCTAGAACTCGAAGAAATTACACATTATATACTAATTTAAACTTTTCTCTTTAGAAATCTCAAATTTCTACAATATAGTTTACCAGTATTATTTTTTCAAACAAAGGAAAAAATAAACAACCAGGCAAATGATTAGATTTATGATAGTGAAGGAGAACAACACAAAATAGCAGTGCTGAGATCTATATGAACTGCTATCTTCATAGGTTTGGAAAAAGAAGTTTCTTACAAGAGGTGACAACAGAAAGAAACCCAGGTGATTAAGTGAAAGACTAAAAACATATATCTAATAGTATCCTGGTTGCTACCAGATTGAATGATGACAAACATTATCTTCTTTAAATACCATGAGTAGTGCACAGCAAGCTGTGCTCATTAACTATTATTTTTATATTGCTATTTTTATCAATTGCAGATTTCTTCAGTAGATAAGCCTGTCGAATGTATTTTTATTTTCTCTGAAGTTCTTTAAATAGTGCCTAACAAGAACTCAATAAACATTTACAGAACTGAAAAGAAGACAACTATTATCACTTAATTAATTAGAAACATAAACAGACTATGAAGATATAAAAAAGTCACCACATTTCATATGCCTGAGTCAATCTAACCAGTATCAAATAATAATTAATCTTCCCCAGATTTATAAAAATACAAAGAAAAAATGAAAACTATGCCTAGGGCCAATAAGTTAGGAATCCAAATAATAACAGTTAATCAGAAAAGATAAAATGAAGTTGTCAATATTAAGTAAGCCAGTATCCTGACTATTTAAGTACTGTCTGCCTTTATTTGACTGACACCATTTTTATCTACAGGAATTCTATACAACAATATCTGCTTCATTTATGTATTCATGGCACTAGCACAAGCTTGCTTATAATGAGTATTTTTTTAAAAAAAATCTTTGTTGAACTAATGTAAAATTATCATGATCAATCCTGGGGTTTTGCTGTTATTTGTTTGTTTGCAATACTGGAAACTGAACTTAGGGCCTGACACATGACCTATCACTAGGCTGTAACCATGTTTATTATTTTACTTTTAATTTTAGACAGAGTGCCACTAAATTGCCCAGACCTTAAACTCGGGGTCTTTTGTCTTACTTTCCAGGTATCTCAGATTATAGTCCTGTGCCACTAAGCCTAGCAACAGTTATGAGCTTCAAACAGCCAGCCAAAAGATGGATAAATTTAAAATATAAATTTCAATGAAATAAATATCTCAGTTCCATGGCAAACATGTATAGAATAAAGTAAGTTTTTACAAAGAATGAAAAATAATTGAAAATAAAACAATCATATTAGAAAAGCAAAGCGCATGGCAATTACAACATATTCATTAAAGGCAGTATTTCCAAAGACATACAAGGAGAAACAAATTCTACCTACCAATTATCATGTGGAAATAAAGTTGATATATATATATATAGTAAATGAAAATAATCAGTGATATTTAGAAATATGTGTGTATCATCTACTTAACTACATGGTGAGGACTTTTTAGGCACATAGTGGTATGGAAACAAATATATCAATTTTGTTGCATAAGACAAAAAATGCCTTTTTAATACTTATCATTATAGCCATATATTTGGTGCAGCTCCCACCCCACATCAAAGAAGCTTCCTTTTTTTTAGTGGACGGAACTATTACAGAGAATCACGACTGGTAAAAGAGCAAAGAATAAGTGACTGTGGAGTATCCACCCTCAAACAAGACATCTATTAAACAATGTGTACACCCAAGGCTTAGGGAATATTGAAAGAGATGGCAGATGGATGGTAAGAATCAGAGAGACAGAAAGACTGATGCAAGATATTGTCTTCAGGAACTCTTAATAGCTATGGTTGCCTATCTAAGACTTGCATAAGGCTACCTAAGTTAACATTCCAGTATGGATGAGAAAAAGAGTCGGTTGTCTTCAGGGACAACTCCCAATAGGCTGTCCATGCCTAAATGACCAGTTCTACAGTCATGTGCATACAGCTAAGACCCTAAGCAATAGAGAAGATGGTACCTGAACTGGCCTTGCCTTGTAGTCAGACTGATGAATATCTTAAATATCACCATGGATCCTTCATTGAACAACTGATGGAAAAAGAGGCAGAGATCTGCAGTAGAGCACTGGGCTGAGCTCCCATGTCCAGTTGAAGAGTGGGAGGAGTGAGAATATGAGTTAAGAAGTCAAGACCATGAAACAGTTTACCTGAGGTAACAGCTCACCAACTCTAGTTGGACAGAGAAGGAAACAGCATAGGACCAAACTATACCCTCTGAATGTGGGTAACAATTGTATGGCCAGAGTAGACTGTAGGGCCACTGACAGTGGCACAAGAATTTACCCCTACTGCTTGCATTGATTTTTGGGGAACCTATCCTCTTTGGATGGATATCTTGCTCAGCTTAGATACAGTAGAGAGGGCTTTGGACCTTCCCCAAAGAGATTTGCCTTACC